GACTAAAGCGATGATGTGTTCACCGCCGTGGTCCAAAGCGGTGATTAGCTTTCAATTTTTCCTATAAAAACCCACGCCCACTTCCCTCCTGCTGCCAAACAGCAAATTAGTACAAAAATTATCGTTTTGTTAAGTCGTTTTCGCAGCTGGTTCCTCCGTAGTTTACTGCTCAAGAAACTCGTCGGGATTCGGTATGTTAGAATTATGTATTGTTTACATTTTGATTATGTGTTAGAATTAGGTATGTTAGAATTATATATTTAGATTAATTATGATATGATATATGTTAGTTAGTTAGTACTGAATTTAGATTAATTTGTTTAGTTTTCTCATGATAGATCGGGATTGAGTATGTTATAAGTATGTATTTTTTACATGTTGATGTGTTAGTAATTATATGTCTGTATTTAGTGAATTGCAGTTATTGGAAAATATGTTATGATATTATTTAGTTTAATTATGATATGATAGATGTTAGTTAGTTAGTTATGAATTTAGATGAATTTGTTTAGTTTTCTCATAATAGATCAATTAGTTGCATTTTATTATCGCTTTGGATGATATTGTTTTTGTATCCATAATGTACTAATTATATACTATACTTAATTATTATAAATTGCAGACATGGGTAAATTTAAGAAGTTTCGGCTTATTATTTATTGGAATGGTCGGGTGACAAACTCGAACATTGGGATCGACTATGAAGATGGCGAATCCAGTATGCTTACAATTGAGTCGAGATTCTCGTGGCAAGAACTCCATGACAGGTGTGCAGAAAGGACTTGTACGGGCGGGCAAATGAGAGTTCGCCAAATTACTTACCGGTATCCCAACATGAGTGCTGACGGAGTCATGTACGAAAAAGTTGACATAAATGATGATGACGACGCGAACATGATGATACAGTTCATATCTGAGAACGGGGTGCGGCTTGCAGAGGTGTATGTCGAGACCGAGTCGGTCGGTGAAACTCATTCTCACCAGTATTCTTATGATGATGGTTTTGCAGGAGGGTATGGCTGGGGTGCTAGTTCAAGTAACTACGGAGCAGGTTCTTCTGCCGGAGGGTATGGTTGGGGAGGTACTTCAAGCAACTACGGAGGAGGTAGTTCTGAAGGAGGTGTTGGGTGGGAAGAATACCTGCCACATGGTGGTGAGACTGTTGTCGATATCGTTCAGCCCGACGGTGATCAATGGCCTGCTTGGGGTCCAGAGTGGGGTGACATTGAAAACACCCTTCGATCTGGGCGTACTTCGTATGACCAAGAAGGCGATGCTGGTTATGCTGGTAACGATGACCATCCTTCGCCGAGCTATCCATTCGCCTCCAGTGACGATGAAAGTGAGGAAGATTTGAGATCAGTCAGTGAGGAGGAAGATACGGACGATAACGACGATATCGATGACAGTGAGGTGGCGTTCCGACAGGCACCAACGCCTTACTACACAGAGGTTCCTGATCAATTTTTATATGGTCAGAACGATGCCCATGACTTTCGGCCCATGCCTGTGTAATTTACGTACTCTCAAAGCCTCTTCGTCCATTTTTTGCCGAAAAGCTAGCGAGAGTATCGACAAAACAACAAAACAAAAACTCTAGTAATTCTTTCTGATGCGGAAGATCGGACTTAGCCGCAACCACAGAGCATACTTAGAACGAAACTAGAGTGAAAAATGGAGGGAGAAAGAAGTATAAAGTGGTGGTGTGGTTTGGAATGAGGGGGGGATGGGTATTTATAGTGTTTGGGGCTGGGAAAAGGTCTGGCCAGTTATCACCGCCCCGAACAAACACAGTGCCATCACTGCGTCCAACAAAGGCGGTGATGAGCACGGATCGGTGACGTGGCGGCTTCTGATGCGTCGGATTGTGGAGAAAAACCACAATCCGCGCATAACTGCATCGGACGACAGCGGTGAAGGCGCGGGGTGGGGCGCGGATCGCTGACGTGGAAAGCGGGGCAATCACCGCTTTGGTCTTCAGCGGTGAAGTGCCCGCGCGCGTCCACGTCAGCGATCCGCGCCACTTCACCGCTGTTGGATCCAACGGTGAAGGCCTCACTGCTTCCCTCATCAACGGTCATGCCATCACTGTCGTCCTTGAAAGCGGTGATGGCATCACTGCTTTGGTCTAAAGCGGTGATAGCATCACTGCTTTTGTCAAAAGCGGTGATGTATCATCGTTTTAGACCAAAACGGTGATCAACATCACTGTCTTAGACAAAGACAGTGATGTTGAAACTGCTGTACTTTGGGAAATACTTTTATAAGTACTGTATTTTGGTAATTTTTTTTAATAATTGGTGTATTCTGGGATTTTTTCCCCGTCATTGCTTACTGATTGGTTCCCAGAATAAAAATGGTGGTCTCGTAATCCCTGTCTAGTTTTCCATTCTATATTAATCACATCTCCATGGATGAGATGCAAAGAGTCGGTCGCCTTGAAGCTTTACTTGGAGGTTGTCATTTGATCAATGGTACTGTACAACCGTCGCTGTATCGATTGGTCAATGTGGTCCGATCGTGCTTTTAACCCGGTGTTGACACCTAAAATTAATTTGGCCGAAATTAAATGTCGCATTAATTAGTCTCGGCATTTAAGTCGATACCGTGGGTAAAAAATGGTGTCGTTGGGAGTCGAGCAGTGTCGCAGAGAACTAAAACGGTACCGCGAAACGGAAAAACGGTACCGCAAGGAAGCACGGCGGTACCGCAACACCGGAAACGACACCGCAGGATGAAAATAAAAGAAGGCCGCGCGTTTAATGAAGGAGGAGGAGTTTTGATTATTGAATTATTATTTTTATTAAGCGGCACCGTGTGGAATTAAAACGGTACCGCGAAATAGAAAATCGGAGCCGCAAGGAAGCTCGGCGGTACCGCGGAATTGGAGAGGGGCCGCGCAGTGTAGGTGTTGGGGAAGGAGTTTTGTTTATAATTAATTAATATTTTTATTCCTTGTTGGAAGGGGAAAATCGGTACCGCATGGAGACAAGCGGTATCGCGGAGAGTTAAAACGGTACCGCGAGTAGGCCCAACGGTACCGCGGATTAGCAAACGACAGTGTTTAATAATAAACAGTGTCGCGGAAGAAAAAAACAAACGGAGCTGGTTGGGAAAGAAAACGACACCGCAAGGTTGGAAGCGGAGTCGTTTAAGGTTGGAAGCCAACCCTGTTTTGGTGTAGATATTATTAATATAAATAAATATGGCTATTTAAGCCACATAATGTCTAGAAAATTTTATGGAAAAAAAAAACGGCATTGCTAAGCTTGCCGCAGCATTGTGGAGGGGAAAATCACAGTTGGCCTTTTAATAGACAAGTAAAAGCAACGTTGATGTAAGTGTAAACGACACTGGTTTGGCCAAATTTTATTTTATTTATAAAAAAAAGCTGGAAATATATTATTTGTATGGCCGCATGAAAGAAAAAAAATTATGCAGCTCTGCCGCTGTTGCAAACAGCTCTGGCGAAAAATTATATAAAAAAAAACAAATCAGTTCTGCCGCAACAGCTCTGGCGGAAAAAAAAAAAATATGCAGCTCTGCCGCTGTTGCCCCAGCCCTGATTAGAAAAAAAAAAGGTAAGAGAGGGCGGCCGATCAGCTCTGGCGAAAAAAAAAATTTAATAGGAGCAGTCATGCAGCGCTGGTGGAGAATAATAAAAAAAAAAAAATTTCTCTCAGCGCTGCCATTGTGCTAACAGCCCTGATATATAATATAAAAAAAAAAGTCTCAGCGCTGGTGTAAATTTGACAGCCCTGATATATAAAAAAGAAAAAAAAAATTGGCGGTTGAGGGAAGGAGGCCGCCAGGTCTGATAAAAAAGGGGAAAGAGTCAGCGCTGATGAGGAAAACAGCTCCGATAATAAATAAAAAAAAAACAGCTCTGGGATGTTTAGGCCGCAGGGCTGCGGAGACAAAGCAGGTGTCGGACTCCTCCATTTTGGCCGCATGATTGCTTGGCATGGATTGATTTTAATATAATATTAGTATTTTATTAGACATCTCTCTTTGTTATGTCTTTTACGTTGGAAGAAGAGGGATAACAGCAAACAAAATTGTGTTTGGCCGCCGCAGTGTTGCATGGTGTGGCCACAAGGAAATTTCACAATGGCAAGACAACGAGACAAGGTATAAGCTCGTTGTTGCATTGGCATAAAAAATCAAGGAGCAGTGGTGATCACTAGGTTTCAAGGCTCAATTCAAGCAATGTTGTGAAGCAAATTCTTGGCCTAGGATTGCAATGTTGCTATTGTTTTTTGCATGGGTTGCTTTTAGGTGTTGTGGACTATGTCAACAATTTGGTTCATAATTCTTATAAACCAAATTGTGGGGGGCATTTGTTGACACCTAAAATTAATTTGGCCGAAATTAAATGCCGCATTAATTAGTCTCGGCATTTAAGTCGATACCGTGGGTAAAAAACGGTGTCGTTGGGAGTCGAGCAGTGTCGCGGAGAACTAAAACGGTACCGCGAAACGGAAAAAACGGTACCGCAAGGAAGCACGGCGGTACCGCAACACCGGAAACGACACCGCAGGATGAAAATAAAAGAAGGCCGCGCGTTTAATGAAGGAGGAGGAGTTTTGATTATTGAATTATTATTTTTATTAAGCGGCACCGTGGGGAATTAAAATGGTACCGCGAAATAGAAAATCGGAGCCGCGAGGAAGCTCGGCGGTACCGCGGAATTGGAGAGGGGCCGCGCAGTGTAGGTGTTGGGGAAGGAGTTTTGTTTATAATTAATTAATATTTTTATTCCTTGTTGGAAGGGGAAAATCGGTACCGCATGGAGACAAGCGGTATCGCGGAGAGTTAAAACGGTACCGCGAGTAGGCCCAACGGTACCGCGGATTAGCAAACGACAGTGTTTAATAATAAACAGTGTCGCGGAAGAAAAAAACAAACGGAGCTGGTTGGGAAAGAAAACGACACCGCAAGGTTGGAAGCGGAGTCGTTTAATGTTAAAACGATGTCGCGGGTAGAATCAAGCGGTGCTGCTCAGTTAAAAACGACACCGTTTAAGGCATCAACAACGCCGCAGTATCACTAAGCGGTGTCGTTTAGTGAAAAACCATACCACAATGGTTTGGATTTTGGCGAGGCCTGGCAAGCACAACGGTGCCGTTTGGTTGAAAAAGAAACAATGTCGCGGAATGGAAAACGACATTGTTTGTCAGCATCGATTAGTGAAAGGTGATGCCGCGGTATTGGTGAAACGACATCGTTGCATGGACAAGGTTGTAGGATTTGGCTTTTCGCCAAGTTTCTGCAAACAGGAGCGGTTTCGATGGCACGTGATTTTTACGCAAAGCAGAAAGAGGAGATCAAGGCAGTTGAGACACGTGGGATTTCACAACGGAGCAGTTGAGGAAGCGGTTCCACCGAGCGTGAAGGCTACGAAGCAGTTTTTCGAATAAAAGCAGTGGAGCAAGGAGAGAGAAAAGGACAACCAAATCAACACAGAAACACATCTGTCAAACTTTATCTTTTTCTCTGTAACTCCTTCGCGGAGCTCTCCTTCCAGGAAGGATCTCCATAGTTGTAGAAGTAGTCGTAGTCGCGGAGCTCTCCACAGGAATCTCCATAGGAGTAGCGGTAGCGTAGATTCCTCAAAAACTCAAACACCCTCGTTCGAACGTAGTTTGGAGAGGTGCGAACCGTAGTAACGGTCGTTCTTGGTTAGAAGTCAGAGGTGCATCGATCAAATCAACACCGCCCGGCGGTGGATATTTGACGGTCACGTCGATTTCACCATTCAGAGTTGCACCGATCAAATCAACGACGCCGACATTCGGCGGCGGATATTTGACGGTCGTCTCGATTTCAGCAATCAGCGGTGCATTCGATCAAACGGCACCGCAAGAGTTTCCATCGCGAAACATCAAATCAACATCGCCGGAAACGATTTCGGCACCGGCGGTGGCATTTGGTTTTCCAGAGGAAACATTTTGGCACACCTGGTGGGACACGTGTGTTTGACATGGCTCTGCGACGTGGAAAAGAAGATTGTGGTCTTCGACAAGGATCCGTGGCGGAGGCTCAAATGGTTAATATCGAGATTGACGATGCTGTCGGCGGTTCAAGCAACAACGCTGGAGCAGAGGTGCAATCAATGACACGAATCTCCGATCAGGGTGAGATGCTGCTCATACTCCGCCAAGTAGTGGCTGAACTCAACAGAGATAGCCAACAGGTAAATATCATTTTAACTTCTCTTGATAAAAAAATGGATAATCTTGAAAAAAATATTGATAAATGGTGTGATAAATTGGATAATTGTGTTTCTGATTTTAATATGTCAATACGTAGAGCCACGTACGATTTTGATGTGTTTAAATATGAAACAATGTCTGTTGCGTGCGATGATTTAATGGTTGATGGACTAACCATTGTCAACCAAACTCTATCGCCAAATCTGGCTACAATAGTGTTGCCAGAAGCGCACAAATCCAAAGTGTCTCTTCCCGTGAACAACACTGTTCTTAAGGACACGCAAGTTGGAGGTGGCTTGCAGAAACCACCACAAAGAAGTCAGTATCAACGTACTTCTAATAAGAATGAAAATAAGAATCAGGGTGGAGAACCTGGCTACAAGCACGTTGAGCATGGAAAACTCACATATGATGTGTTGTCAATCCAATGTCACGATGATGTTCGATCTAAACCGCTAGGGGGGCATGAGAGCCCACTGCAAGGCGGGTTGAAGGAGAAACAATATCACCAGTGGCGAAGCAGTTTGCCACATCCACCCTGTTCTAGGAAAAAGCATATGTGGGTTGCCACAAACACTATTCAATATGGAGGTGGTGATCACGTGAAAACCCCCAAGGCCACGAAAGTTGGTGTAACTTACCTAGATCCTTCGTGTAAGTTGTCCCCAAAGCCGCCACCGAGTGGAGTGGGGGGCAAGTTCAAGCAAGCCCGACATGGAGTTGCCACACCAGTGTCGAGGAGGAACAAGTCTGCTATGAATGGTGGATTGGGGGGCAAGTATAACACTCTACAAACTCCAAAATCACACGGGAGCTCAAAAGAAACGATGTGGAGGTGTGGTAAGTGTCGTGGTAAACAAAACACCCACACACTGGTCGGTGAAGCTCGTAAGCATCGGTGCTTATACTCACAGCAACATGGTGAGAGTGCGAAACTGACAAAACCAGACCTGTTTGGGCAAGCAACGCCACATGGTCGACTTGGTAAGACAAACGTGTCAAAAAACGTGAAGGTCTTGCCTAGAGCCAAGAACGCATATGATTTTTCATTCCGCGAGGCTGAGAGGAGACCAAATCAGGCTCGTGGAGTTTCGAACAAAGGCGTGCGAGCTGAACAACTTGGAGAGGTGCAAGCCAACATTACTCCCAAAACATCAAAACCAACATGTGTGAAGCCAACAAGTCAGGGTATTTATGGATGACTTGTTTGGTTTGATCAGTGGAGTTGGCAGTGGGTGTGGACTTTTGGCATGATGGTTTATGCTAAAGCCAACCCTGTTTTGGTGTAGATATTATTAATATAAATAAATATGGCTATTTAAGCCACATAATGTCTAGAAAATTTTATGAAAAAAAAAAACGGCATTGCTAAGCTTGCCGCAGCATTGTGGGGGGGAAAATCACAGTTGGCCTTTTAATAGACAAGTAAAAGCAACGTTGATGTAAGTGTAAACGACACTGGTTTGGCCAAATTTTATTTTATTTATAAAAAAAAAGCTGGAAATATATTATTTGTATGGCCGCATGAAAGAAAAAAAATTATGCAGCTCTGCCGCTGTTGCAAACAGCTCTGGCGAAAAATTATAAAAAAAAAAAACAAATCAGTTCTGCCGCAACAGCTCTGGCGGAAAAAAAAAATGCAGCTCTGCCGCTGTTGCCCCAGCCCTGATTAGAAAAAAAAAGGTAAGAGAGGGCGGCCGATCAGCTCTGGCGAAAAAAAAATTTAATAGAAGCAGTCATGCAGCGCTGGTGGAGAATAATAATAAAAAAAAATTTCTCTCAGCGCTGCCATTGTGCTAACAGCCCTGATATATAATAAAAAAAAAGTCTCAGCGCTGGTGTAAATTTGACAGCCCTGATATATAAAAAAGAAAAAAAAAGATTGCCGGTTGAGGGAAGGAGGCCGCCAGGTCTGATAAAAAAGGGGTAAAAGTCAGCGCTGATGCGGAAAACAGCTCCGATAATAAAAAAAAAAACAGCTCTGGGATGTTTAGGTCGCAGGGCTGCGGAGACAAAGCAGGTGTCGGACTCCTCCATTTTGGCCGCATGATTGCTTGGCATGGATTGATTTTAATATAATATTAGTATTTTATTAGACATCTCTCTTTGTTATGTCTTTTACGTTGGAAGAAGAGGGATAACAGCAAACAAAATTGTGTTTGGCCGCCGCAGTGTTGCATGGTGTGGCCACAAGGAAATTTCACAATGGCAAGACAACGAGACAAGGTATAAGCTCGTTGTTGCATTGGCATAAAAAATCAAGGAGCAGTGGTGATCACTAGGTTTCAAGGCTCAATTCAAGCAATGTTGTGAAGCAAATTCTTGGCCTAGGATTGCAATGTTGCTATTGTTTTTTGCATGGGTTGCTTTTAGGTGTTGTGGACTATGTCAACAATTTGGTTCATAATTCTTATAAACCAAATTGTGGGGGGCATTTGTTGACACCTAAAATTAATTTGGCCGAAATTAAATGCCGCATTAATTAGTCTCGGCATTTAAGTCGATACCGTGGGTAAAAAACGGTGTCGTTGGGAGTCGAGCAGTGTCGCGGAGAACTAAAACGGTACCGCGAAACGGAAAAACGGTACCGCAAGGAAGCACGGCGGTACCGCAACACCGGAAACGACACCGCAGGATGAAAATAAAAGAAGGCCGCGCGTTTAATGAAGGAGGAGGAGTTTTGATTATTGAATTATTATTTTTATTAAGCGGCACCGTGGGGAATTAAAACAGTACCGCGAAATAGAAAATCGGAGCCGCGAGGAAGCTCGGCGGTACCGCGGAATTGGAGAGGGGCCGCGCAGTGTAGGTGTTGGGGAAGGAGTTTTGTTTATAATTAATTAATATTTTTATTCCTTGTTGGAAGGGGAAAATCGGTACCGCATGGAGACAAGCGGTATCGCGGAGAGTTAAAACGGTACCGCGAGTAGGCCCAACGGTACCGCGGATTAGCAAATGACAGTGTTTAATAATAAACAGTGTCGCGGAAGAAAAAAACAAACGGAGCTGGTTGGGAAAGAAAACGACATCGCAAGGTTGGAAGCGGAGTCGTTTAATGTTAAAACGATGTCGCGGGTAGAATCAAGCGGTGCTGCTCAGTTAAAAACGACACCGTTTAAGGCATCAACAACGCCGCAGTATCACTAAGCGGTGTCGTTTAGTGAAAAACCATACCACAATGGTTTGGATTTTGGCGAGGCCTGGCAAGCACAACGGTGCCGTTTGGTTGAAAAAGAAACAATGTCGCGGAATGGAAAACGACATTGTTTGTCAGCATCGATTAGTGAAAGGTGATGCCGCGGTATTGGTGAAACGACATCGTTGCATGGACAAGGTTGTAGGATTTGGCTTTTCGCCAAGTTTCTGCAAACAGGAGCGGTTTCGATGGCACGTGATTTTTACGCAAAGCAGAAAGAGGAGATCAAGGCAGTTGAGACACGTGGGATTTCACAACGGAGCAGTTGAGGAAGCGGTTCCACCGAGCGTGAAGGCTACGAAGCAGTTTTTCGAATAAAAGCAGTGGAGCAAGGAGAGAGAAAAGGACAACCAAATCAACACAGAAACACATCTGTCAAACTTTATCTTTTTCTCTGTAACTCCTTCGCGGAGCTCTCCTTCCAGGAAGGATCTCCATAGTTGTAGAAGTAGTCGTAGTCGCGGAGCTCTCCACAGGAATCTCCATAGGAGTAGCGGTAGCGTAGATTCCTCAAAAACTCAAACACCCTCGTTCGAACGTAGTTTGGAGAGGTGCGAACCGTAGTAACGGTCGTTCTTGGTTAGAAGTCAGAGGTGCATCGATCAAATCAACACCGCCCGGCGGTGGATATTTGACGGTCACGTCGATTTCACCATTCAGAGTTGCACCGATCAAATCAACGACGCCGACATTCGGCGGCGGATATTTGACGGTCGTCTCGATTTCAGCAATCAGCGGTGCATTCGATCAAACAGCACCGCAAGAGTTTCCATCGCGAAACATCAAATCAACATCGCCGGAAACGATTTCGGCACCGGCGGTGGCATTTGGTTTTCCAGAGGAAACACCCGGTTTTTGCATCGCTCTCCTTGTTTTGATATTTGATCTTGCAATGCTACTAGAAAATAATTGATCATCCTTTTCTTTTTCTGTGCGATGCCAAACGCATCACGTGGCTGGGATGGCTACTTGCAACTACGAAGTCTGGATCTGAAATGCTTTCCACAGACCTCATCGCTTTCTTGAAGGCTTCGTAACCAGTACCCAGTACGAGATTTGCCTAAATATCATTTGTTCCCCCTGTTCTAGGCTCAGTATGATGTTAAGCTTGAAGTGCGTGAACTCTCAATAGATTTGCATATCAGATTCATGGGCGACTTTCTGGATTGGATTCAATAGATTTGTGTCTTAAGTTGGTGTTTGTACCAAGTTGCTCCGGTATGAACAATGATATTTGTTGGTGTGGGGTCAGCACGCAATCTGTTCGTCGGATCTCGTCGGGAGGGAAAGAACCTGTGGAAGAGCCGGGGTTGCCCCCCGGATTAAGCTCCGACGGTCAAGTTAGTGTCGGTTTGTGGAGAGAGTTGAGAGAGACAACAGAGAGATGAAGTGTAGAGAGATAGTAGAACGTGTGAAGTGAGGAGAGAGAGGAAGTCCCCCTTCCTTGGTGGGTTTCATACCTTTATATACTCGTAGCGGGTTTAGAGCGTCATACGTTGTCAATTGGACGCGGTATTCCTTAGTCTCTGCGGGGAGCCACTTAGCAACACCCCCAACAATTGCCCCCCAAGCTGGTGGTGAGTTTTAACTCATCACTAGCTTATATTTTATTTTTTTTAAATCTTTGTCGGTAATTTTGGGTGGGGCCTATGTACCCCAGTTGCCCCCCAGCTGGTGGCGCGTTTGACTGACGCGGTGCCAGCTTCTTGCGTCTTGCCCCCCATTAGCGCCATTAACGCTTAGGATAGTAAAATATTTTAAAAATTTAATAATGATGGAGGGATAGAGTACTTAGCTTTATATTGGCAGTGGCGGCAGGAGTAGTTGAAAGGCAGGCGCTGCGCCCTTGAAACAGAACCTGAGTGGTAGCCTGCAGGTTGTTCTTTCGAACTGGGCGCGAATAGTGCTGGACTATTGCTAATTTTTGTTCTTTCGAACTAGGCGCGAATAGTGCTGGACTATTGCTAATTTTTTGTTCCGTGGAACTGGGCGCGAATATTGCTGGACTATTGCTAATTTTTGTTCTTTCGAACTAGGCGCGAATAGTGCTGGACTATTGCTAATTTTTTGTTCCGTGGAACTGGGCGCGAATAGTGCTGGACTATTGCTAAGTTTTTGTTCTTGCGAACTGAGTGGGCGCGAATGTTAAAATTCAGACGCCACACCGTTGAAACACAAGGTACTTGTGGCCTGCTGGTAAGGATGCTTGTCTGTCGGAGGAGTGGCGCGGGTTCGAATTCTGGCGACGACTACATTATTTTTAAGTAGTGCGCCTGTTGAATGCGGGCCGCGAGTGCGCTTGGGCGCGAGCAAGGGTGCATTGCGCTTGTGGACGCGGGTTGAGTTGGGATGGCCGCGAATGCTGAGCCGCCGAGCGGAAGTGGGCCGCGAATAGAGAAGGCGGGCTAAGTTGAGTTGGGCCGCGCGTGCGCTTGGGCGCGAGCAAGGGTGCAGGAGGTTTTAAGTTGGCCGCGCGCCGTTGAAACACAAGGTGTGCGTGTAGCCATCTGGTGATATTGCTCCTCTAGTGGTGGAGTAGAGCGGGTTCGAGCCCTCGTGATGGCAACAATTTTTTGAAGACCCCAGTTTAGCGCCTGTTGGTGGGCTTAGCGGACTTGAATCTGTCAGAGCGGGCCGCGACTTGGGCTTCCTGGACGGGGCGGACTTGGATCCGCGAGTCTTGAGTGCGCTCCTGTTGAGGCGAGTCAGAGTGAATAGTTACGACGCGCTGTGATTTAGTACAAAAAGCGCGTTATAGTCCGCCGGTTAACATGCCCGCCCGGTTGAGGAATGGCGCGGGTTCGAGCCCTCGCGGCGACAACAATTTTTTGAAGACCCCAGTTGAGCGCCTTATCTGTTGGGCTTGGCGCGCATTGGGCCTTGTCTGCGAGTTGAGGGCGCGAGCTTGAGTGGGGCGGAGCCCATTTTTGAAGACCCCAGTTGAGCGCCTTATCTGTCGGACTTGGCGCACATTGGGCCTTGTCCGCGAGTTGAGGGCGCGAGCTTGAGTGGGGCGGAGCCCACTTTTGAAGACCCCAGTTGAGCGCCTTATCTGTCGGGCTTGGCGCACATTGGGCCTTGTCCGCGAGTTGAGGGCGCGAGCTTGAGTGGGGCGGAGCCCACAAGTGACGCGCGAGCGGGCTAAAGGAAGGGTGCGTACTCCGATTTGAAGTGGGCCGCGAGTCCGGAGGCGGAGCAGGCCTTGGTGTCGGTACAATCTTCTTATCAAAGTGGCTCCCACAAATGCACAAGTTGGTCTTCTAGCGGAGTGCGGATCTGGTGACTAAGGGGGGGTGCTTAGTCACTTGACTAAGCCCCTCCTAGCCATTAGATCTGGACACTTCAATCCAATGGTTAAAAAGTGGGAAGGGCTATTTAATTAATAGCAGGGGTAGTTTGGGTATTATGAAAAATTACAAAGTATACAAACCGGATTTACAATCAGTACAAACCATACAAACATACGAACAGTACAAACTAGAGCAACAAAACATACAAACATTACAAACGTATGAACTGTACAAACAATACAAACTAGACTGACAAAAAATACAAACCATACAAACATACGAACAGTACAAACTAGAGCGACAAAACATACAAACATTACAAACGTATGAACTGTACAAACAATACAAACTAGACCGACAAACAATACAAACCATACAAAAGGAAAAAACACCCGGGTTGACTTTTGAGGCTCCATCCCTATATAGAGGGGCTCCTTCCCAAAGTCAACCCGGGTGTTTTTTAGACATACAAACAGTACGAACATGGTGGACAAAAATGACAAACTAGACCGACAATCCATACGAACGGGAAAAAAACACCCGGGTTGACTTTGGAGGCTCCATCCCTATATAGAGGGGCTCCTTCCCAAAGTCAACCCGGGTGTTTTTTAGACATAAAAAACATTACGAACATGGTGCACAAAAATAACAAAGTTTACAAACATGGTTAACAAAAATAACAAAGTTTACAAACATTACAAAAAAACCGACAAACGTTACAAAATAACAAAGCATACAAACATTACAAAATATGTCAACAAACATCACAAAATTAGCACTGTCGCCGGGAAATTCTTCTCCGGCGACGATGTTCGCCGAAAAAAAATTTCCGATCAAAATATTTGTCCGACCAAAAAAAAACTCTCTCTCTCTCTCTCTCTCTCTCTCTCATAATAATAATTCCCTGGACAAGGGATAATTGCAGCGGACCCTCCCTGGTCACGCTCTTCTCTCTGGGGATAATAATTCCCTGGGGAAAAATGGCGGCCCTCCCCCCTGGTCACGCCGGAAGAATTTCCATCGGAGAGAAGGATCGGCCGGCGGAAACTCTCTGGTAACAGGCCACCGGAGAAGAAAACGGGTCCACGGGCTGGACTTTTAATTATTTTAATTGGTAAATAAAAATTAAATAATTAAATTACTACATTGCCCTTCATTAAATTGGATTAATCAGGACCATTGGATTTTAATGAGGTGGAAGGGCTGAGATTCACTTAGTCACATGACTAAGGGACCCCCCCTTAGTCACCTGATCTTAGCCCTCTTCTAGCGTACTGGTTATAGCGCATGTGATGTTGATTGGTGGCGCGAGTTCGACTCACGGGGGCGGAAGATGTAATGATGAATTTTTTTTTTTTTTTAATAACAGGAGTGCAAGGGCCTTGAAGCTGAGTGGATCTGGCCGCGCAATAGGGTTCGGCCCGGGGCTTTGGAGTGGGCTTTGATCCGCGAGACTGTTGTTGCCAACCTCCTGGCGCTGCCTTTTGCCCTTTTCTTTTCTAATGTGCTTCCAGCCTGTCGTCTTGGGAACCTCACCAGTCCTTTCCTTCTGACAGGGAGAGAAGGTGGCTCAGAGATAGCTGTCCCATCGATTTGACCTGTCCCATCGATTCTTCATCTTTTTTTTGTTTTTTTTTTTTTAAATACTGTTGAGGAGGCTGAAGAGAAAGTGATGATGGTGATTGTGGAGCGGCTTTTCTTCCTTCCTCGTCTAGGCTCCGGCGCCGCACCTCACTCTGGCGGTCGGAATTCTCACCGTTTTTTTTTTTGTTGCTGTTGCGCCTCTCTTTCTTCTTTGTTCGGATTGTTGGCAGCTCGTTTCTCCTTAATCGGAAGGGGCTCCTCTTGTGCGAGTTCCCGCAGAGATGAACGCAAGGAGGATAAAACGCGATCTGCCTTTCTTCTCTTTTGCTAGCACGATCAATTTTGTTTTGTCGTTGCCGTCGCTAGGTTAGGTGGGAAATCGGTTTCCTCCCTTCATTGGCAGCTATCTGCTTCCTTGTTCTTCAAACTGAAACTCTTTTATTGCTTGTCGTTGCCGCTGCTTGTAGTGATGGAGGAAGAGGCAACTTTTCCTCCTTTCGAAATCAGACGAACAAGTATCCAAATGCTGCCCCACGGTGGGCGCCAATTGTTTGTACCAAGTTGCTCCGGTATGAACAATGATATTTGTTGGTGTGGGGTCAGCACGCAATCTGTTCGTCGGATCTCGTCGGGAGGGAAAGAACCTGTGGAAGAGCCGGGGTTGCCCCCCGGATTAAGCTCCGACGGTCAAGTTAGTGTCGGTTTGTGGAGAGAGTTGAGAGAGACAACAGAGAGATGAAGTGTAGAGAGATAGTAGAACGTGTGAAGTGAGGAGAGAGAGGAAGTCCCCCTTCCTTGGTGGGTTTCATACCTTTATATACTCGTAGCGGGTTTAGAGCGTCATACGTTGTCAATTGGACGCGGTATTCCTTAGTCTCTGCGGGGAGCCACTTAGCAACACCCCCAACAGTTGGTATTAAATGTAATTTGTCGACATGAATCTAGAAATAATTAAACGCACACCTGGGATAATAGAGAATTGCAGCAAGGTAAGTTTATTCCACCCTCAAATCTGCAAAGGCAACCTGCTGTTGCAGAAGCTCGGCCGGGAGCACAATTTAATTCACCGGCTGATATGATCATGAATTCTTCAATCCAATTCACCAATCCATGATTTGAATTTTACTTACCACCTCTAATTCAGTTTTACATAGATTATATCCAGTACTAGGTGGTTATTTTTTGTGTTATTTATCGTGGATGGTTTCAGCCAGATGGATAGATCTTCTACTTATTTAATCCTCGGGCTAAGATCAAGATCATGTGACTAGGGGGAGGAACACTGGGATGGCAATGAGTCGGGTTGGGGCGGGTTTTGTCAAACCCAAACCCAAATTCATAGGTTTATCCGTTAAAAAAACCCGGGGTAAAACCCGTTGGGTTTGAAAAACTCAAACCCAACCCGCTGGGTATCCGCGGGTTCATGGGTACTCGTGGGTTTTTGTGGTAAAAAATGTACAATAACAAATTTCTTTCAAAATAAAAGTTTAAACATCAATTTTCTCATACAAATTATTCATACAATAAATACCAATCTAGAACATACAAGCAAACCGCAAATGATCAATACAAATTGTTCAAAATTAAAGATAAACATCTATAAACAGCAAGATTAATTGAAATCTTCTTCCTCGTCAAATAAGTTTTTTCACTCTCCACTCCATAATATCAACTTCATTCTAAATAATTAGAAAGAACAAATTATACATGTCTCCACAAACATAGATAATATTAGTTGTTTAAAGAAGATATATTATTTAGAATATTAAATATAACGGGAAAGTAATTATATGTGTGGCGAGTACTCATGGGGCGGGTTTACCTAAACCCAAACCCAACCCGGTGAATAGTGTAGCGGGCTTAAACCCGAACCCGACCCAAAACCCATCAACACGGGTTTTACCCACGTTGACCGGGTTGGGTCGGGTGGGTACCCGTGGGTTCGGGTTTTGTTGTCATCTCTAAGAGGAAGAGGATATAGTGACATAACTAAATAAATCTCACTCTTCCACTTCATTAAAATTCAATGAATATAATTAATCTAACTTAATGAAAGACAATGCAATGATTATCTAATTAATTTATTTAGCAATTAAAACAAAAAAATAATTTCCCTCCCTGTCGTCCCTCACCGCCTTCGCAGGCCAGGGGCTAGGGGAGGAAATTAATTCAAGCGTCGATAATGGACCAGCCGTCGGAGTTTCATGGGAAAAGGCCACACGAAGAAAATTAATTCTACCTTTCTTCCCATTCGAGAGATCGAGAGAGAGAGAGTCTCCGATGACATTGGATTTCCGGTCGATCGGCGACGCGGATTTTCTGGCAACCAGAGACGGCGGGGGAGGATTATCCGGCGGCAGTACTGGATTCGTGATGTTTGTATACCTATTTTGTAATGTTTATGAGTTCCGTTTGTAATGTTTATGTCAATTCGGTTTATATTGTTTATCATTCTAGTTTGTTATTTTTGTCTATTGTGTTTGTAATGTTTATATAACTAATTTGTATATATGTTTATTTATAATATTTGTTCGTCTAGTTTGTATACTTTATGTTATGATTGGTATACTTTGTATTCATTGATTTGTAATACAATTTTACTGATTTGTATTGTAAGTAGCGTTATTTTGTACTGTTAGTATGCTTTGTAATGTTTGTCGGTTTATTATGTAATGTTTGTAATCTTTGTTATTTATGTAATGTTTGTCGGATTCTTTTGTAATGTTTGTAAGTTTTGTTATTTGCCCACCATGTTTGTCATTTTTGTCAACCATGCTTGTAATGTTTTTTATTTTTAAAAAACAACCTGGTTGACTTTTGGATAGAACTCTTCTGTATAGAGATGGATCCTCAAAAGTTAACCCGAGTGTTTTTTCATTTTGTACGTTTGTCGGTCTAGTTTGTGTTTTTTGTCCACCTGTTTTAATGTTCGTATGTCAAAAAAATAATCGGGTTGAATTTGGGACGAAAATCACTCTATATAGGGATGGAGTCTCCAAGGTCAATCCGAGTGTTTTTCATCATATTTGTCGTTTTAGTTTGTAATGTTTGTAGGGTAAGGTCTATTTATTATCATATTCTTTTATTTTATCCAAATCTATTGAAATACTAAGAATTAGCCAAACGCTTTGTAGCACGTCAAAGTATTAGCCATTTTTACATTATCGTTAATAATTTTGTAACTCTTTTCTTAGTAAAAATGCTAAAATTTTGGAATGTTGACTTCTATGTGACTCTTCCAAGTCAGTATCATGTTACCAAGTCAATATTACTAAAAAAATTGCTAAGTGAATGTTAATATTTGGTTAATTATTAGTAATTCAATAGGTTTGGTTAATAGAATATGAGAAAGTTTCGACTAATAAATAGTCATTACCCATGTTTGTATATTTGTATTGTTTATAAATCCGGTTTGTATACTTCATAATTTTTTATAATGTACAAAATACTCATATTCCTAATTAAAAAGCACTAATCATTTTTTAACTGTTACATTAGCATGTTCAAATCAAAGTGATAGAAAAGATTTAGTCAAGTGACTAAACATAACTTAGTCGCCTGATCCTTTCTCTTCCTTCCTCTTAATCCTCGCCGGTGCCTGGAACCCGTACTCAGGATCCGGAGGTTTAACTAATTTCTTGCAAGTGTGCCTTTTTTGTTCATTGCATGTAAGTGCATGTGTTCGTTCCATCTATCCTATCCTGACCGTGATTAGACTGGCAAATTGCCTGATCCTTTCTCTTCCTTCCTCTTAATCCTCGTCGTTGCCTGGAACCCGTATCCAGGATCCGGAGGTTTAACTAATTTCTTGCAAGTGTGCCTTTTGTTTGTTCATTGCAAGTAAGTGCATGTGTTCGTTCCATCTATCATGACCGTGGTTAGACTGGCAAATTGCAGTCTCTTTTTTACACTAAGTCGTTTGGTTTTGGTGATAGTTAAGATGATATAGTTACAAGTACAATACATACATTGTCCACAATGCATCTTTTTTTGAAATTTCTGCACAAAAATACATGCATTGTTTGCTTGATTTGACACAAACTATCACTCAAAATGAGTGATAGTTAAATCTCAAGTTTTGGTTGAGATTGTTGAGATTGTTTGGTAGAGATTGTTGGATTTTGTTTTGTTCCCACTATGTCCTAACCTTTTATGTATGTTGCTTTTCTAATATTAAAAACAAAGGGCAAATTTTACATTTCATCCAAAAAGTAATATAACTTATTTCAATATTTGAATAACTATCACAGAAACCAAACAATGTAAACTACACTACACCATTTTTCTTATATACATGTATATTATTATTCATGCATCGATAATATGGTTGTCACGCCGGCCGGCATGCCACCGGTTGTACCGGGTTTAACCGGTACCGGTCATAAAATCGGCGTGACACCACCGGTATGACCGGCATGATCGATATACGAATCTGAAATCTCTAAGTAAAATGAACTTATTTTAGTGAATTTAATTGATAAAAATTATTTTATTATTTATTTTATGAGTATAAAAGTTCAATATTGATGTTATTTGCTGGATTCAAGTATAAATGTTTAGGTATTGATGTTAAATGTAATGTTTAAATATGAGTATTTATAATTTTCTTTGTAATATTGACCGGCAGAAACCGGCACAAACCAGTATGTGCCAACGGTTGAACCATTCCACTTGCTAAACCGGCATACTGACATAAACCGGTTTGACAACCTTGATCGATAACAATGCAACTATCACCAAAACAAAACGATGCCTACTAGATTTTCTATCACCATCCAAAACACTCAGCGAGACTAGATTTTCTATCACCATCCAAAATCGAAGCATTCTAAGCCTAACGAGTCCCGTCCAAGCTCATTCGAGGCAGTCGGCCATACTACGATCAATGCACAGATCCTGACATGAACAATTTGGGACCTGAAAATATTAGCTGCAGCCGGAACTTGCACAACAAATGCACAGAATACACTAATCTAAGAGACCATGAACAGAACCATCCGATCATAGCGGTTGGAAGCAACCTAGAACCATCAACTAAATGACACCCTAAAACTGTTATACTCGATTCCATAGTAATACTTGTTTCTGAGCTGCTCACAAGGAACGTTGACAAAGCAAAAAAACTACTACAGAATTGTCAAGTTCATCAGGAAGGAAAAAGGAGGGAGGTAACAACCACGGAGAGAGAATAAGAGCAAATCTGAAGAAAAGCAAAACAAAAAAGACCCTCAGAGCTTCCAGCCTTAAGTACGGGTTTCTTCCGCTGCCGCAGCTTCGAATGTCTCTCCGGCTACAAGTTCTGGGACATCATCATCATCTTCCTGAACTACTCCAGTGGCACCAGTGGGGGCCTCCTTTTGGAATTGCTCAGCCAACTTCTTCAAGTTGTCCAAGTTATCTGGGCCTGAAATGTAGGAGACAGAAATGGTAAGCAAAGCATAACTCTTGAGTATCCAGCATTACAGGAAAATAGAAAACAGAACAGGCTATAGCATGATGTCTCAACGGTAGCTCAAGTGACACTAAGTAGACAGCTCCCAACGAATTAGTTAGTTAAGTGAATGAAAACATAGAATTAGTAAATTAGAATGCATAAGCATTGTTGATGAATGGCAGAGTGAAACCATGCCTATGTTAATAACCCAGGTACAAGCTTCTGAGACTACTTGAGATGTTAATAACCCAGGTTAAACACCCCAAAAAAGATACATTGAACTAATTTGGGCAAAACAAAAACCTTCATTACCAAATATCAAGGAGAGGTAGAACATCGCTTATGTTATCTCTTCCCTCAACCCTGGGAACCGAAGCAGAAACCATGCATATGTTCCATAAACATTGCACAAATAAGACATTCGATTTACCCATACACTAAACATGTTTGAAAGCTAGCTCTAGAAGAGCTAGCTAATAAGAATGATACCACAAAACATTGGTTAATAATCAACACAGGCTCCTTAAGTATGAGTGGAAGTTCCTACAACTCAATCCAGCTTCATTTACAACACTGTCAACACATAACCAACATTCACACCGACTGTAAAGAACACATACCAAGCTGGTTGATAATCCCTGGAAGAATATCTTGAAGTTCTGTAATAACACAAGGTTAAACGTACATCAGCCAAACACACAGAAGGAAATATAAACACCATTGGACTCCAGGAAAACATCAGATCAGTAACAGGAAAGAGCAGGGAGATTACTTCTGGTTTGAGGAGAACCAGTAATGACCCAAGTGTTGGCAACGATGGAAGCTTGCACCTTAGGGTTAACAAACTGAATGACCAAATCATCCTTGAAAATGTTGACTTCCTCAATAGCCGGTATGGTGTTGACACCTATCCTCTTTAGAGTGCTCTGAAGCTTCTTGTCGTCACTGACTTCTTCTTTCTACAAGGACCAAAAGAAGGAAGAATTAGCACAAAACCCTAAATCACTCAAATCTAATTAAAACAAAACCAAATCCATCAGGAAAAAAAACCCTATTTAACCCACCTGCGCACGGTTCCCTTTCCGCCTGTGCGGACAGAACCGGCCATCTTCATGAGCTTCTCCCGATTCATCTGCAAAGTAAAACAAGAAAGAAACACCATCCATTAGTGAGAACAAAAACAGCCGCCGGCTGAAAGGGAGCAGATGAAACGCAAAACGGAAACAGGAAGAACCATAAATCTGGTACTGATTAGGGTTTTGAGTCACTTCGATTTACCTTGTCTAAGAGTTTTGGTTCTGCGGAGAGGCTAACAAGGGGGAAAAATCCCAAGTTACACATGTTTTTAAAAAAAATTCTCAAAATACACACGTTATGAAAATAATTTCCAATCTACGCATGTTTGGGCCATCACCGCTGTCGACGAAGACAGTGATTGCATCACTGCGGTCGACGAAGACAGTGATTGCATCACTGCGGTCGACGAAGACAGTGATTGCATCACTGCGGTCGACCAAGACAGTGATTGCATCACTGCAGTACACGGCCGCGGTGAAGGCCTGACCTGCGTCGAAACTTTAAACAAACGTAACTTTGTGATCGGTTATCCGATCGTAGCGAAAATCATGAATTTTTTTTTATTTCGCATAACTTTTTAAGGAATACAATATTTAGTAGGAGAGAATTTTCAAAAAATGAATTATTTATGGATATAAGGGGTTTTGGGAATAACTTTACCTTCCTTTTCAGGAATCCAAGTACATTCCGAAAATATGTCTATGATAAATATTGTAGTCCTTAAAAAGTTATGCGAAATAAAAAAAAATTCATGATTTTCGGATTGTGGAGCACAAAGTTATGGTCGTTCAAAGTTTGACGAAATCGAAAAAAGACTCGTTCGGGGTAGCAAACGACATATTTTCGAGATGAAGGCGGGACCAAACCGCCTACGGCAATTTGCGGCTTGCAAGATCTCGAAAAATTATGCGGAATCAAAAAAAATTTCGTTACGATCGGATAACCGATCACAAAGTTACGTTTGTTTAAAGTTTCGACGCAGGTCAGGCCTTCACCGCGGCCGTGTACTGCAGTGATGCAATCACTGTCTTGGTCGACCGCAGTGATGCAATCACTCTCTTCGTCGACCGCAGTGATGCAATCACTGTTTTTGTCGACAGCGGTGATGGCCCAAACATGCGTAGATTGGGAATTATTTTAATAACGTGTGTATTTTGAGAATTTTTTTTAAAAACATGTGTAATTTGGGATTTTTTCCTAACAAGGGAGAGCGGCGAAAGCAGAGAGACTGATCTCTGGGAAGGGTTTCCCTTATCTTTTTAAAATGCTATAGGCTAGGGAATTGGGGAATATATTTACCGTTCTATCCCTTTCTTCTCCTTTTTTTTTCGTTGAATTTTTTTTTTCTCCCTCTACTGTCATTTTAATTTTTAATTGCTAAATTGCACCATATATCACTATCTTTCTATTTTCTCCCTCTACTCCTCGTTTTGCCCCCTAGCAACCCAATGCAATAGGGCGAGTTGTGGCGTGTACCTCAATACCTATTCCCCACCCTATGTTATTACGGATTGGGGTGGGTGATATTCGTGCGTGTACAAGGTGAGGCATATCGACCCACTCTAATATGTTATTTGATAAAATTACACGTAAAATTTTACTTTTTATGATAAAACGAAGGGGAAAACACTTTATAAACGAAGTAAGTGATAATAGTATGAGTAATTGACTCTAACTAGTTGAAATATTAAATCGTTGAACAAAAGTAAAAATAGGAGAAATATGAATACTTACTGTAAGAAATTGAGATATAATGGGCCAAGAATGGGGCAGGGCGGGACAGGGGGAGTTGGAAGTAGATACTCATGCCCCGCCCACGCTACTGCGGGTCAGGTCGGGTAATACCCGGCGGGGCGGGTTCAAATTGCCATTCTAAACCCAATTTTTGGATTTTTTTCTCAAATCGCCTCCAATCGAGACCTTCGCTACCCCGCCTCCTTGTCTTCGTTGTGGCCTAGGGCTGCAAATGAGTCGAGCTGCTCGCGAACGGTTCGGCGCTCGACTCGTAAAAAACTCATTTGAAACTCAGCTCGTTTACTAATGAGCCGAGCTTGAGCTAACCCTTCTGCATCTCGTGGAGCTCGCGAGCTAGCTCGACTCAGTGGTTTTTTGAGCTCAACTCGTGAGGTGGCCATTCCCCATAGTGATCATTTGGGGTAGGTGAATTTTTGTGATTTATCATGTTGCTTGTAAATAACTTGAATCACAAAAAATCGAAAGTCATTTTTTCATATAAAACTAGTCACGGGCCTAGCCAGTTTGCCGGATCCGATCTCCAATCACGTAAACAATAATGGTAAGTTTATGCAAGATACATGTTTTTTGGTGGTATAAGAAAATATAAATTATTAAAATACTCTAAATATTCAAATTGATTGGTAGAATAAGAGAATTCAAATTATTAAAATAATTCAACACTTCAAAAAGATCAACATCATACTGTTTTATGTCATGCTAAAGACTCATCAACTAAAAATCTTTATGGAAATGAAAGGCAACCACATGCAATGGAACTTACTTCTAAAAACATTTTCTAATCACCCTTTTATTTAGTCATCATCATCAGTAATACTGCACGTTTTTATTTTAACTTATTTAATTTCCTCCACCATGAGCACCATCATCAGCTCCATTAATGACACATTTATCTACATTATCAATAGTATATTCCTTCTTCACTTGCATTTCATTAATTTCTTCCTTGTTTTCCTGCATTTCATTGCACACTAAAATTTAATGGTAAAATATTTACAAATACAAATCATCTTTTTCATTGGAGTTGAATTTACTGCGTGCAAATTTTGAACAATATTTCTCCCCTCACGGGTACCATTAGTTGTACATGGATCTATAGGTACTTGAATGCTACATGGTCTGTGAAACATAAAAAAAAAAATGCTTCAAAACATTTAGGATCTGCTTTAGGATTTGAAATTTCAGCATATATAGTTGAACCTCTTTCTGAAGAACCAAAGATTTTATCTTCCACAGTTAGGAGAACTAATAAATGAGCACGGGGGTAGAACGTGTTTTTTAAAATTCAATTGTCATTACATTTGCAATGAAAGAAATTATCAATAATAATCTAAGGGGTCGTTTGGAGAATATGAGTTTAAATCTACAGATTATCAACAATCTAAAGATTCTAACTCTTCGGATTGTTGAAAACAGATTTTAAAATGTTTATTGTTTGGTAACTGTGATTGTTAACAATCAAGTAAACTAAAAAATTCATTTTATATTAAATAACATGTTTATCCTTAATAAAAAATTAGAGTGGTTCGAGAAATATAAAAAAACTTTGTTGATAAATATATTTCATGTGATAAATAAATAAAAGGAAGAGAAAAATTAGGAGAAAAAAAATCTCACGAATCAAGATACAGAATCTCTCTGGTTATGAGAGATTTGATATCCGCAGATTTTAGAGATTTGAAATCTCTAAAGCTAGAATCCATAATACAAAAAGTAACAAAAAAACATAACTTTCTACAAAATCTACGGATTCAATGAATCCATGTCCTGAATCCTGTTCTCCAAACGACCCCTAAATTGAAAAATAATAATACCAAACAAATCATGAGTTAAGGATGCTTAAATCAAAACTATGGAATATAACTTACATGTGCATGTTTCCCCCAAAACTTTCTTCTCCAAAATCTCTTTCAACAATTCATTTTTCTTCAGCTTGAAAACTACTGCGAGTACATCAAGTCTTTTAGGATCTTTTCTAGTAGCATTCCTTATCAAATCAAGCATGTATTGAATCTCAAATCAATCAAGATTACATGTAAATGTGATGAACATATCTAGATTACCGACCCATCTACAAATTACCATAAAATTATAGAAGTTTTCATACTTATATCGGGGCCTACGTGAATGCGATGAATCTCAAATCGTATGCTTTCCACTCAAACTGGTATCCGAATTACCTCTCAAGTAAGTATCCAGAAGACCTTGGTAGTAACGTTGCCACGCCTGTGTTTGATTGTCTTTAATCTAATCCAACCGCTTAGCATCAACCAATGCACATGTGTTAACAACATATTTGTTGGAACAACTTTCCACATAACTTGTTTACAGTCTATACTGTAAAAATCAAATTAGGTCATATTCTTCATTGAGTCCTTCTGTATCCTCATAGCTAGAATATGGAATATTTGGGTGTCATCCATCCTCCCCATGTGGAAATAATATGAAATATTGCAAAGTAATTACAGTTGGGTTATATATACGAATTTGTACCACTTCATGACTTTGATGTTGGGTTGTCAAAAAAAAAATGACTTTGATGTTGGGCAACAATATCAGTAAAAAATGTTTGGTCCCTAGTATCATCAACAATGAAAGCAAGGACCTCACTTACATATAAAAAATCATATTCTCTACCATCCCCTTCTCTTTTAGCAAGCAACTTAGTTTCAACTTGCTAACAATGGTGTCATTCAATCTATCCCTTGGAAATCATAATGCATTAACTAAGATATTACTTGAATCAAACATCTCTTGTTGTTGTTGAATAATTTAATTGCGCAAAAGGATTTTAAATAGAATATGTGGTGAAAAAACTAATTGATTTTGGAGTTTATTGCGAGTGTTATAGATGTAGAGTTGAACAAAATTTGGTTTGTTCCTTTTAGTAGATATATATCAGGCTATCGGTTTGATGATTAACTTGACCTCGAGTCGAATAAACGTATACTTTACGTTCATATCATTTATAGACCAATCCATTTTACCTCCAATAAAAGTTAATGCGAAGACCCCATTATAGCTTCAAATATGTTCCAAAAAGTGATGTCATGTAGAAGTATTTGCGTGCAATATCATATTCAAAACCTCTGGAGGATGCATCTGAGGAGGGAGGTTCACTTTGCCTTGTCTTTACGTAGCACAATGAAAACTTTGATTGATTGTAATTCCTTGTGCGTTTGATACTTTCACCCTTCCGCATCATTACTACACAATATTCACATTTATAAGATGAATTTTAAATGTTAAAATTTTGAACAACATCAATAAAATTATAAATTTAATATAAGATATGCATTTGATGTAAATTTTAAAACAAAAAATGAAAAAAAAAACTCAAATGCAATGCTGTGGCTGAAAAGGCCTACAATTATTTATTTACATTGAAGTAATGTTATACTCTTTTTACATTGTTGTGGCTGAAAAGAGCTTCAATTATTATTGGTTTTTATTTTGTTTTTCCAGTCCGCTAATTTCATATTATCTT